TCCTCCTCCTCCTCCTCCTCCTCCTCCTCCTCCTCCTCCTCCTCCCCGCCCCCGCCGCGCCAGTGTCCCGCCCCCCTGACGACGGAGTGGATCTGAGGGCCCGCGGGCCTCCGCCAGTCGAGCCCGCGGGGGCAGGGCACGACGCTGTACACATTTGTGGGGCGCAGGTTTCGCGAGCGGGGCGCCCGCCCTGCGCGGAGGCCGCGCCCGAAGCCGCGGCCGCGGGGGAGCCCTCGGGTTGAATGTTCGTTTGGGGGGGCCTTCCTGGGGCCCGCCTCACTCGGGCCGGACGAGAGGGGGGGATTGGGAGAGGGGGGGTTACGAAGTCTGCTGCATGCAGCTGGTTTCCGCCGTACCGAGGGGCCCAGTCCTCGATACATGGCCGCCTCCGGCGCCGGGAGGCGCCAGGAAAATCAGCGTTGATTCTCAAACCCTCCCTTTGCTATCCCCCCCTTCCGCCCGGCCCGAGCCTCACGGATCTGTTCGACTCTAGTTCGACTTGAAATCGGTTCTAGGTCGGTTCATACTCGACTCAGGTCCGACCCAAAGTTGACGATTCGTTCGACGAGGCATCGACGCGCGAGTGGGGGCGATTGGCTCCGGGAGGGGATCCCCAGAACGAGCACCCGACCCCAGGAGCGCTCGCCCAGCGGCGCGCGGGGTCGGAAAGCACCTCCTGGCCTCGGGCGAGCGCTCGCCCAGCGGCGGGTTGGCTGGGGGGGGGGCAGGGGGGACAGGGGGCACAAGCTCGAGGCCGGCTCGGGAAGGATGCCCTGATGTGATTCATTGCCCGTTGGGTGCTCTCGTGCATCTTGGGGGGGGGGAACCCCTCGAAGGTTCTTCGGTTTGGCCAGCGGGGGGGCTCTTGGTCTTGAGGGATCGTCTTCTGTCCTCGGTCTGGCTGTAGCATCCATGCTTCCGCCGTCGGAGAGGCGCCTGTCCCAGGGCGGCTGGGAAGCGCTTCTTGGGGAAACGTAAGTCTCGAGTAAGCCGGAACTCGGGGTATGCCGACGTTTTTTGACGAGCGCGTCCTGGATTTTGAAGGTCCAGTTTCCGTGGGGTGTTTGCGGCGGGAGCCCGCGTCAAATTTCAGATGGGGCCTCGTCATTTTTATGATGGCCCCGTCACGCCAGCCCGAGTCCCCCGTACCCGGGTCTTACGTGTCCCCGAGTATGCCCCAACGGTGGCAGGTGGGGGCCCAAACTTTCCAGCCGCCCTTGGCGGCACAGCCGCCACCGACAGCGGAAAAGTTAATTTTCATGCTTACGTCGGGCATGCCCCTCTACAGGAGGAAGATTCAAGAATAGTAAGACATTGTATGGATGAATGTGTGTTGACTATGTCTCATTGTTCTTCCAATATCCGCCCGTAGGAGTACATGCCCGACCTAAGGGTAGATCTGTTCTGGAGCGTTCCGGGAGCGCTCCAGGGCGCTCTGAGAAGGTTGCGGCGCTTGACACATCTTCCATTGCCGGACCTCAGAGATGTTCGATGTATCGGGGGTGGACAGAACCCCCAACAGTGACACGTCGATTAGTGAATTGTCCGTTTTCGGTTCTCGAGAGGGCGCCGTGGCCGTTATTTTCCAGGCCTGCGCCCGCCAGGTTTGGGCCTCAGGTGGTTTTCACTAAACCACGTTTTACTAAAGGGAGGTCTGTCCATCCCCGAATGTATCCTCAGCCGAACGTATCCCCGTCCTGGCTTCGTCGAGGGGGGAGTGCGGAGGGCCGTGGAGGCTGGCACGGGCTGGAGTGCGTGGGCGACTCTGGCCCGCGAGTGCGGCCCACCGACCACGACTTTTGAGGGCAGGGGGGGGGAGTTGCCCAGCCTCCGCCTCGACCCCGCCTGGAGCCCTCCTTACACCGAGGAACAAGTATCGGGGGAGCGTAAGACCCGGGTTTGCCAGGACTCGGGTTCGCCATCCCGCGCCTCGGATTTTGACGAGTAGGAGTTTCGTGCGATGTGTGCAGCGGGAGGCCTCGTCAAAATGCAGGCTCGGCCTCGTCATTTTTTTGACGACCTCGTCGGGGATTTCCGAGTCCCCTGTACCCGGGTCTTACGCCCCCCTGAAAGTAATGACATAAACATCAACGTTCGGAGGTCCGCGCGATGTTGTTGGATCGGCGCTGGATCCCCCTCTCTGACGTGCGGAGCTCGCCAGGGGCGGCGCTGGAGGCGCCGCCAGGGTGCTCCAGCGCCGATCTGGGAAATCCGGCGGACCTCCGAACGTTTGTGTTTATGTCCTTAATTGCACGCGCCCTCCTCCCCGCGACGACGTCGCCGATGCATCCCCGAAGCATCGGCGATACATCGGCGTTGCGGCGCGATCTTCCGACCCCATCTGATAGGACGCAACTCCTGGAAGGTTGAATTCTGTATCGACGCTGGTAGCTTCGCGGTCGGTCATCGGCCCAATCTGGGCGAATCCGGCCTACTTCTGCTTAGTCCCGCTTAATCCGGCTTCATCCCGGGCTCAATCCAGCCTGATCCGGTGAAATGGCACCTCCATCTGGCCTGATCGCCCTGAGTCCTTCCGACGAAACACTCCCAGGAGCTGCCTCCGAGCATCCAGGAGGCCCCAGCTCCCTGCACGCGCTCCCCCCCGAACCGGCCCCGCCCCTCCGGAGCCTCTCCGCGTGGAGGCCGCACTGTGCGCAGTGCGCGGCACGCCCGGGGGGGCCCCCGCGGGCGCCTCCTGGCACCACTGGAGGCGGGGGTCGCGCGCCGGGGCCGGCGGAGAGGAAAAAGGCGAGCGTCGGGCCAGGGGCAACGACAGTCGCCGAGCGCGTTCCACGACTCGGAAAGCGTCTTCTCCAGGCCTCCCAGATGGGGACCGAGCAGATGGGGTCGGAGGATCGGCCCGCATCGCCGCTGCATCGCCGATGCGGCTCGGTGTGGCTGCACGTCGACGTCGCCGATGCATCGGCGATGGGGCGCGATCCTCTGCCTCCATCTACTCCTTCCCCGTCTTGGAGGCCTCTATACTCGCAAGGTGCCTACTTGCAAGCGTCCGAACAAAAACAAAACGTGCTTTGTCTCGATGCGAAAGTGGACGGTGCAGCCCCCGCGGCGGGCCCGGGCCATCTGCGAGTAATTAATAAGTTTACTAGTAATTAGTGGAGCGCGCCTGTGCGCTTGTGTAGGCAGGTCGCCATGGATCAAGAGAGGAAAACCGCCCAGACCCGATCACTGGCGTTCACTGAACGGCCTTGGGCGTTCACTGAACGGCCCGCCCTGTTCGATTCCTTCTGTGGGTGCGTTCACTAAACGGCTTCGCGTGTCGGGGTGATTATTTTGGGGGTGGATCCTCTGCCCTCTAATGGAGGAAACGGGCCCTGAGGGAGACGGGTCCCGCGGCGGGGGCGGGGCGTACCTCGCGTCCTTGCGGCCTTGCGCCCTTGCCTCTGCGGGCCGTCCCTCGCGGTGTTCACTGGCCGGACGTTGTGATCTTCCTTGGGGCCGCAGCCGAGGGTCATCGAGATTCCGTCGACTTGTTCGTGTAGGGCCCGCGCCCGTACCCACCCTCAAGCAGCAGGATTCCGCGGATTCTGCGTTTCTCCGCTGCGAATCGGGACGAGAACGAATCCAGACTCCCACAAAACATCTGATGTGGAATGCCCTCGCCGTCGTCAGTATCAACTCGTCTTGGCGGTCTTGGATTGCAGCTGAGAGGGCTCCAACGCAAGACACGTAGCAGTGGTTTGAGGATGGCCACGCAAGGCTGTCTTAACGCGTGACCGAAAGCAGTTCTCAGTCAGCAGGGATGTAAGCGTGTGTATGCGTGTGTGTGTGTGGTTGTGTGTTTGTGTATGTGTTTATGTGTGCGTGGTCGTGTGAGTATGTTGTCGTGTGTGTACCTGTGTTTGTCTGTGTGTGACCGCTATTATTCCTTGTATCCATCTGCTACGCCAGGTGCAAGTTCGCCTCAGCGTGCCCCGGCTTAGCGCTTCGCGACGGTGTCGTCGCCTCGCCGTTGGAGGAACAAGTGTGTGTGTGTGTGTGGTCATGCCTATGTGTGTTGTTTGCGTGTGTGTGAGTATTGTGTGTGTGTGTGTCTGTTTTGTGTGCGTGCCGTCGTTATGGTTGAGGGCCCGGAAGAGAACCGCAAAGCCGTCTGAGGAGGAGGAGCCAGGAGACCGGAGGAGGACGAATTGGAGACCTTCTGCGAGCAGATCGGGCACGACGTGCCTCTCGGGGACGGCTCCGCAGGTCCTTTGTGCCTCGAGTTGGCTGCGAGGTGCAGCAAGCGAGCTTCCATCGCCGCGGGGTTGTGCTTCCTTGGCGCCATGCCTCCAGGCCCCCGGGGGTCATCGACCAATGCGTGAGGAGACAAAAGGAGAGAATAGAATGGACCGACCGCGAAGCGATGAAGCATGACTCGAACAACAGGCCCGAGCACCAGGCACGGTTTGGCTTGAGCTAGTATTTGAGCCATTTGATGTTCAGTGAATTCTGTACACATTTACGGTATACGTAGTGATAGTTTCCTTATTCATTGTTTTGCCGATCGGCGCGGGCCCTCGCACCCCTCCCCCCTCCCCCCCTCCATAGAGTAGATCTTGGCTGTTTCGGGAGCCTATTTCGAGCAGGTGGGGTCTCCCCCCTAATGGACGCCATGTTGCAAACAGTCGCATTAAGCAGAGGTCCAGAGCGAGACCCCCCCCCTTCCCTCCTCTTTCCGCCCCATGTCGAAACGCCGACTAAAAAAAGTTGACAGGCACGCATGACTCACGTGCAGGATCGGGGGAAAGACCCGACGCTCAGACCCAGGGGCCCGAAGCTGCACACTGCCGTACCATCCGCCCGTGCTGCCGAACCAGATCTTCAGGTTTGTGTGGAATAGCATGCTGTGGCACTCAAGTACATTGTTTTTCTCAGGATCAAGGCCACAAGTACGGTGGCTGCGACGCAAGCCGCGCGAGGCGACTCACTGGCCAAAATGCTTACGGTTCGGGTGCACGCTGCGTTGATGCTTCCCCTCACCATGCAATTGCTGTGGCACTCGTGTGTGGACTGACCAGGGATGAGACTGCGGCGTTCTCGCGCAGAGATGTACATGGCCATCCCAATCTGAAACATGTGTAATTCAAGCTGTGCTACAGATCGGCCTTCTAAGAACGACTCGGCACAAGCGTGTGTCGGATCACGGAATTCGCACAAATCTCGCCAGCCCGGATCATGGATGTGTGGCACCAACCCCGATGTGTGCGGATTGACCCCCTCGGCGACCGCAGGAAATCCGAGTTCGGCTGAGACGCTCGCTCCAAGCAGGGGCTGGTTTCCAATGTTGTGCGAGCGAACTTGGCGGCGCTGCGTTTGCAGCGCCGCTGGGTGCGCCCATCGCCCATCCTCCTCCTCCTCCTCCTCCTCCTCCTCCTCCTCCTCCCCCTCCTCCTCCTCCTCCTCCTCCTCCTCCTCGAGCTTTTTATTCGAGGCGAACAGAGCCAGGGCAGCAGGGGAGGGCGGATGACAACGCTCTCGTTGTTTGCACGGACTTTCCCGTTTCTTCACAGCGATCGCATCGAGGTTGGTTCGGAGTACTCCAGATTTCGTAATAAAGGGAGTGGGTCTCATTTCGGGGGGGGTCTCTTCCAGGCTATCTTGGAGGGCCTGGGGGGGTCTGGGGACGATGTTTTGGAGGGTTCTCCCACGGAGGGGGTCTGAAATGGCTTGTCTTGGAGGGTCCAGACCCCCTCCCTTTTATTACGAAATCTGGAGTAGGTGTTTTGGGATTCCCAGGTCCCAATCTACTTCAAGCGCCTTCTTGCTTTAGAATCGGCACGCTTTTGCTGTGTTCTGTTATTCACTGGGGGGGGCCTGGACCCGATCAACTTAATCCGCCTTCCTACTCCTTGTGTTCACCTACTTCGACCGACGCGTAAACGTCTCGGTAGATGGCGTGTTTCGGCCGCCAACCTGGCAAGCTCGTGAGCCGCAGCGTGCCCAAGGATCAATCCAGACCGGGATGGGCACCTGGGCAGCAGGGGAGGCGGAAAGGCAGGACGAGGCTTGGAGCACCGACTGCTTCCGAAGGGTCCCGGACTTCTGCTCGCCCAGTTCGCCCCACAGATCCTGATTCTCGCCACGATCGAGCAAGTGCCGCTGCCGGCACCAGCTCGCACTGATTGGCTTGATTCTTGCTGGTCACAAAAATAGTGGCACCTCTGCTGGAACGAACTGCATGACCGATGTTATCTGTGTAGGTGTATCAACCTATATCCATATATATATATATGTACACGTTCGTGAACATATGAATATGCATACACCATCAATATTCATACACGTATGACTAATCATACATGCATACATTCGTACACGCATACACGCATGCATACATACGCATGCGTACATAACTGCATATGTGGATATACATCTCAACATGTATGCATGTACACATGTGTATAAACATACATGCAAACATACATACAAGCATACATATACCTACATGCATGCATACATGCATGCATACATACATGCGTGCGTACGTCAATACACACGAATACATACATGCATACATGCATACCTACCTACCTACCTACCTACATACATACATACATACATACATACAAGCATGCACGCATGCGAGATACATACATTCATGCATGCATGCATGCATGTAAGCATACGTACAAACATACAGACAGGCAGGCAGACAGACATACATACGTGCATCTACACATACATATATACACCCATACACACATACATGCATACATAAGTGCATGCGTGCATGCATGCATGCACGCATACATACATATTTGTGATACTGAGCCCGCAGAGCGGGAGTCCTGGCCCCCAGGGTGAAGTTCGCACGCAATGTTTGTAATCATCGGTTTTATGGGATATTGACTCGACGAAGATCGGCACCAATCGCTGCAATATGTCTTGGAGCCATCTTGGTGTCCCATTGAGGGTCTGACGGCCTTTAGGGCGTCCATGGGGGATGACATGCGTGTGGGAGGCCCCGACTTGAAGTTCCCCTGAGCCATCTGAAGGGGCCAGCTGAGAGCGTGAGGGATGCGCTCGCCGGAGAGCGCAGATCACTCGTATGTCACGTGCCCCAAGTAGAGTATGGAGCAGGAAATGCGTGAGGGGTGTCTAGAGTTGACCCTCTCGTGGTCTTCGAAGCGCAGAATATGTGTATCTTCGTGTGCCTCAGTAAAGTGTGGAGAACAGGAAATGCTTGAGGGGTGCGCCGAAACAAGGCTTTCGCAGCCCTGTGGGCGCATCTCACTCAAGTGTTCACGTGTCCCAGGAGCTGTCACGCGCGTCGGCCTAGCGCACGTGTCCCCAGGAGAATTGAGGAAATCGGCCGGCGGAGCGCGCGTACCTTTTATTACATGTTCTTACGTGTCTCCGGGAGAACGTATGAAAATTGGCCTCGTCGACGAATCTTCGAAACATGTTCGACACTTCATCGTCCGGCGGAATCGGCGAAGCCAAGGCTGGACCTAAACGCTGTCTTGCGGGACTTCGACCATGTTTTGTGTTGTTCGTTTTGGCAGGGAGGTACAGGAAAACAGGTAGAGCAAGACGAGCAACAAGACAAGCACAAAACGAAAAACAACGTTTAGGTCCAGCCCTGGGCGAAACCTCTCCATGCCTTATGCATGCTTCTCACTCGCCTCTATTTCACTACCATCTCATCTACCCTCGACGCCCAACACGGCGAGGGCCCGCAGTGGACCCGCCAAATCTCATCGCTTCGCTCATCCCGCCGGCCCAGACTGCTCCATCGAGGGCGTGTACCCGCGTGTTCGCTGCCACTGCGGCGTTGTTGGGGTGTGGTAGTTTCCTTGAAGCGTTGCGCGAGCAGCCATTAGGGGACCGCATGCGAACCATACCCCTACCCCCCACGATTTCTGAGGGGGAGGGTGGGGTTCACTTCGCTTGTGAGCTCCCGAACGAAGTGAACCCCACCCTCCTCCTCAGAAATCGTGGTGGGTAGGGGTGGGGTTCGCATGTGACCCCCTAGCCATGGGCGTCTCGGGGCAGCGGCTCGAAATGGTTGTTCGTGTCACCCCTCTTGGGCACCTCTTGGACTCTCCTTGAGGCCCTCGTGGGCCGTCTTGGGAGCCTCTGGGGGGCTCATTGTATCATCGTTGGGGCTTGCTTGAGTGCTCGCAGGGATATTTTGGGAGCCTCGTGGTGCCTCTTGGGGGCATCGTGGGGGTCTCTTGGAGCTTCTTAGGAGAGTCTTGGGGGCCCCCAGAGGCCTACCTGGGGCCTCCCGGAGATCTCGCGGGGCCCTCTTCGGGACTTTCTGGCGGTGTGGGGGGCCATCTGTCGGAAAAGGTTTCGACATTTCAGTTCGGGGCTCCCCCTCTTGGGACCCGCTTTGGGGGGGTTGGACGCTTCTTGGAAGATCTCTGGCCGCCTTTGGGTCCTCTTGGGCCGTCCCGTGGCCGTCCTGGGGGCATTTTGGCATGAATTGTGGTTATCTTGGGGGCCTCTGGAGCCGTCTTGGGCGGTCGGAAGATTGAAAAGGCGGTAACGCCGGCAATTTTCGAACACCGCAGCAAAAATCATCATGTTTGACTTCGTGGGGCTTCCTGGAGCTGTATTTGACAGTTTGGAGGCTACCTTAAAGCTTTTTTTCTGAGCGTACGGAGGCCATCGTGGAACCTATTGCCAATGGATCCCGACTCGAATGAGCTCTTGGGGCTCTCTTTGGATCTCTCGGGGCGCTCCTGGGGCGCTCTTGGAGGCCCTGAAGACCACCTCCGGGAATTCTGACATCCGTGACACCGACGGCCCATGGACCACCCAGTGTACTTTTCGTGCTGGGACCCCGAGGGGCCGCAACGCGCGCGCGAAGTAGAACAATATAAACCTGCTACTTGAGATCGTAGCACACCGCTGGCCCGTTGGGCTGGCGAATTCGCACCTGGCATTGGCCAGGGTATCGAGTTGCTTGCGCATTCACCACCGCCACCGCGTCTCCTGAGTCTGCAGACCCCCAGTGCCGAGCACGGGGCTTTTGGTTGACGATTGTCTTCGCCACCACTTGCCACTACCCCCTATCTCATCCACTCGCCCGTGGCGTCGTTTGTTGCCTCCCGTTCTGATCGCCCTCCCGTCTGACGATATGAAGCCCTTCGCGATTTCGTTGCGGCTTCAAGACAACAAGAACCGAGGGCGGTTGCTTATCGGTGCCTCTCGAGATGCCGCGTCCTTCGAGTTTGCTTTGCTTCCCCCCTCCCGCTGTGCTCCCTTCTGTTGTCGTTGTGTGATATCGCTGGCTTTTGCAATCCTAGGGTACATCTGCAGGTGGCACGCAGCGCTTTCGTTCCGAGTGCTGGCTCACCACACTGGCTTGCCTGCGTCGGGTCGGTTCATGTGGCGTTCCTTTTCCTGCCCTGTTCTGGGGGCCATTGCACTTTTTCGGAGCCGCGCTGGAATTCCGTTGCAAAGGAAGCATGTTGCTTCCCTCTTCTTTTCTCCTCTCCTCGTCCTCCCCCTCGCCTGGGTGGCTCTGGGGCGCAGCCTTGTGTTCAGAGATATGCTGTGTCTTCCCATCGTGTTTGTTCGTGAAGTTTGGCTTTGCGCGTGAGCCCCTCAGATGTCCTTCCCATTCTGAAAAATGCGCTGGTTTGCTTGAGCTCGCACTTTGAAGCCCTACACGAACCTAAGGCTTTTCGGTAAGATTGGCCTCCTGGGCCAGCCCCCAGGGGCCTTCAGCGGCCCAAGATGCGCCCAAGAGGGCTCCAGGACGAGCCTGGAGACCATCAAAGGCCATGTTGAAAGTATGGCATCTCAACCACGTTCTCAAGGCCCCTGGAAAAATGAATTGCGCGGGCCGCCATGGCAGCGCCCAGGACCGCCCAAGAGCACTGGTGAAGCCGGGCCCTGGGCTCCTTCGAGGGTGGGCTCTTACCACCCAAAACACGACAGCGAGTTTAGTCTAGCCCTCTTGTGGTCCCCTGTCCAGGGTTCAACGGACTTTGCAACAAGGAGTTCTCCAAGCCGCCCGCCAGCAAGAAAGACAGGCAGCAGAAGGCAGAGGCACGCAAGAATGCGGCCGCGGCCAAGGCTGCAAAAAGGGCCAAGGATGAGGAGGATGGGAAGGAGAGAAATACATACCACCATCATACCTACTCAGGCTCATTTCCTGTTTGCGTCCCCGCCTACCTCTTTCGCTTCTCGCTGCACCCGCGGGGAGCTCCACATCCTCATGACTGGACTCATACCGGTATGTTTGCCAGGATGGTGCACCGAAGTTGCTTGGGGACGGATTTTTTGAGCCGATCTGGCCGAGGGAGCACAGCCGCGTGTCGAAAGCTGGGCGAGGGCTGCTAAAACCGTGGCTGCTAAAACGGCCCGCCCGGAAGGAAAAGAGAGCTTCCCGCAATGAGGCGCGGCACGCGACACCGTCCACGGGCTCCCACCCGGAAAGTCGAAGACAACCTCCGGGAGGTCGATGTTAGCAGCCACGGATTCCGCAGCCCCTGCCCCGGCCTCCGAGCGTGGGTCACCCAGAGGGCGCATCGAGAGAGTCGAGGCACTGCGCCCGGGATAGGTGCCGGTGCCCTCGAGCGCGCAGGCCGAGAGGGCACCACACCGATCCCGGGCCGCCCCCCCGAAGCCTCGGGGGCCCCCAAACGTTTGGCGGTGGCCACACCGTGCGGTGAGTCGGTGGGGATTCGGGGCCACCGCACGGTTTTGGGGGCTCGGGTCCCTCTCCGAGGACGTCTCGGGCGACAGGGGCCTCCGGGGTCCCGAGGCCGTGCGGTGACGGGCCGTGCGGTGAGGCCTCTTGGGGGAGTTCGAGGTCGCCGCACGGTCCGGCACCGCCCCGTCTCGGGACTCCAAAAGTGAGGGGCGATCCGCGGGGGGTGCAGCGAGGGCTGCAGAGAAGGGGCCCTGTGGGGCCCATACAGGGGCCCAGAGTTAGAAAGTTATGGGAGGAAACCAGTCCCTAGCGAACCCTGGACTTTTTCATTTTAGGGCCCAGAAGGGGGCTCGAAGAGTGCACCTCTCTTCCGCCCCCATTCATCGCCCCCCCATGAAGCGACGCCCGAAGCAGCAGGCTTTGGTGGTGGTGTGCACTTCCCTTCCTCTGGAGAGGAGGAAGGCGAGGCGAGAGCCCGCGCAGGAGCCGGGGCAGCCAACAGGTCGCGGGCGGTTGCCGCACGGGGCAGCGTGGAACGTCTCAGCACGCAGTGGCCCTCTGGGAGGCCCGGGAACCTCGCGCGTTGTGTAGCTCTAGGCCTCCCAGATGGTCAGAGGAAGAAAAGGTACCCATACCTCTGCTCTTCCCTGGTTGTGTGCCCCTTCTTGGGCCTCCTGGGCGGCCCCCGTCGCCACCCCTGGATTCGCCTCGAAATCCGAGTCAGAACGCACCCAGGGAGAGGTCCTGGGAGTAGCGGTATCGGTACTTTTTCCCAACCATCCTGTGGTGTTGGGTCCTCGTTTTGAAGAGACGGTGCCCCGCGTCTCCTCCTCTCCTGCTCCGCCTCCTCTCCTCTCCTCTCCTCGTTTCGTGGCCCCATAGGGAGCTCCACCGAAGGCCCCAGTGGCTGCGCTCCCATGCGCCCACCGGATCCATTTCGGCACACCCCTCACACGTTTCGTGGCCCCATAGGGAGCTCCAGCGAAGGCCCCAGTGGCTGCGCTCCCATGCGCCCACCGCACCCATTTCGGCACACCCCTCACACGTTTCGTGGCCCCATAGGGAGCTCCACCGAAGGCCCCAGTGGCTGCGCTCCCATGCGCCCACCGCACAGATTTCGGCACACCCCTCACACGTTTCGTGGCCCCTCCAGCGAAGGCCCCAGTGGCTGCGCTCCCATGCGCCCACCGCGCCCATGTCTGCACACCGATAGGGAGCTCCGAAGGCAGTGACTGCGCTCCCATGCGCCCGCCGCACCCATTTCGGCACACCCCTCATACGCTTCGTGGCCCCATAGGGAGCTCCAGCGAAGGCCCCAGTGGCTGCGCTCCCATGCGCCCACCGCACCCATTTCGGCACACCCCTCACACGTTTCGTGGCCCCATAGGGAGCTCCACCGAAGGCCCCAGTGGCTGCGCTCCCATGCGCCCGCCGCACCCATTTCGGCACACCCCTCACACGTGGCCCCACGTGGGCCGCTCCCATAGGGCACACCCCTCACACGTTTCGTGGCCCCATAGGGAGCTCCACGAAGGCCCCAGTGGCTGCGCTCCCATGCGCCCCCGCACCCATTTCGGCACACCCCTCACACGTTTCGTGGCCCCATAGGGAGCTCCAGCGAAGGCCCCAGTGGCTGCGCTCCCATGCGCCCACCGCACCCATTTCGGCACACCCCTCACACGTTTCGTGGCCCCATAGGGAGCGGCCCCAGTGGCTGCGCTCCCATGCGCCCACCGCACCCATTTCGGCCCACCCCTCACACGTTTCGTGGCCCCATGGGAGCTGAAGGCCCCAGTGGCTGCGCTCCCATGCGCCCACCGCACCCATTTCGGCACACCCCTCACACGTTTCGTGGCCCCATAGGGAGCTCCAGCGAAGGCCCCAGTGGCTGCGCTCCCATGCGCCCACCGCACCCATTTCGGCACACCCATCACACGTTTCGTGGTCCCATGGGGAGCTCCAGCGAAGGCCCCAGTGGCTGCGCTCCCATGCGCCCACCGCACCCATTTCGGCACACCCCTCACACGTTTCGTGGCCCCATAGGGAGCTCCAGCGAAGGCCCCAGTGGCTGCGCTCCCATGCGCCCACCGCACCCATTTCGGCACACCCCTCACACGTTCGTGGCCCCATAGGGAGCTCCAGCGAAGGCCCCAGTGGCTGCGCTCCCATGCGCCCACCGCACAGATTTCGGCACACCCCTCATACGGTTCGTGGCCCCATAGGGAGCGCCATCGAAGAAGATACTCACAATTGCGGTACTCGCAACTGCATCTGGTTGGGTCCTTCGCCAGGATAATTGATCTCCCCAGATGGAGTCTGAGTAGATGGCGTCGGAGGGTCGCGCCGCATCGCCGATGTATCGGCGATGCGGCTCGATGCGGAGCCCGGTTTTCCGAACGCTGGCGTCGCCGATACATCGCCGACGTCGGCGACGCATCGCCGACGCATTGGCGATGCGGCGCGATCCTCCGACCCCATCTGCTCGGACCCCATCCAGGAGGCCTTTAGATAACGGGGGCGATGAGGAAAGGTGCACCTTTTGTGCCCTGAAGGGCCCCCTTCTGGGGCACGAAAGGCGCAAGCTTATCCCCCCCCGATGTATCGCCCCCCCCCCATTGAGCAACGCCCAAGAATGAATTCTTGACGATTCGGGTAGATCCCCACCAGCCGATCCAGCAAGGCCTGGGCGAGTTGCACTGAGCAGGGAAGGTGCGACAGCACGCAGCGGAACAAGGGGAGGTGGGCATAGCCGCCAATCCGAAGACGGGGATCCGCCTGAGGAGGCCTCAAAATCAGCCGCAAATTCCTTCCTGGATCTTTCGAACTGGCAATTTGTTGGTAGCACTCGGATGAGTTTGGGGTTTTCTTGGGGCCCTCTCGGGGCTCTGGGGGGGCCCTCTTGGGAACATCGTGGAGGGCATCGATAAAGAGGGGTGGATTCTTAGTTAGGGTTCCCCACTTGGGAGGCCGAACGAATGACTCAGTGGGTGTTGTTGGACGTTTTTGGGGCCGTCTTGGGCCACTCTTGGGGCTCGGAGCCATATTGAGGCCTCAAGAGCCCCATCGACCTTCTTGGGGCCATCGTGACCCATGTTGGACGCTCCAACGCCCCGCGAACCGCCCTTCCAGACCCAGGGGAGAGGAGGTAGAGGGTACAGCGGAACAGGTAAACTTTTCCATGAATGTGGAAAAGGAGATTTGAAGAATTACCTCGTTCACTTACATACGCCCCAAAGGGTTGAAGGGATTTCGGGAGAGCGCGGTTAGCGAGAGTGATTCAAAACAACCGGTTCGGGAGGGTTGCGGGAATTTCCGATCTCCAGAATCATTTGTCAAAGCGTACAGTCCACGCATATGTTGAGAAGTTCTGCTTCGAGATGGGTGAATACATCTGTTGAGGACAGCGCTTGCGCGGGAAACGCAAGCCGCCATTGCAGAGATAGAGAGAGAGAGAGAGAGCTGGCAGGATCAGAAAGTGCATGGTGTGATCGAATTACTCGGTATTGATCGTTGTGCCGAGGGATCATTCTATTTGGTTCGGAATGTCTGCAAGAGCGCTTTCTGCCACTGCTGGCAGGGGGAAACATCCCCCTTGGAAAATGATTCGGGGTGGGCCAGAGGCCCCCCGATGACGACGCCGACGCCGACGCCGACGCTGACGCCGCCGCCAGCAAACGACGCGGACGACGACGACGCGCGACGACCAATACGACAACTACGACGGTGACAACAACGGTGACGACGACGACGACGCCAACGCCAACGCCGACGCCAATGACGACGACGACGACGACGACGACGACGACAACGACGACGAGGACGCCGACGACGGCCACGACGACGACGACGACGATCGCCGCCGCCGACGACGACGAAAGCGATGAAGGCGACGGCGACAACGACCAGAGCAGAGCAGGCGTGGAGTAGATTATAGCAGGGGTAGTGTAGAGTAAGGTAGAGTAGAGCTGAGTAGAGTAGGACGGGAGACTGTGGGTGGGGTAGAGTAGGATAGAAGAGGAGGTGTATATCGTATTCCACCAGAGCAGAGTCGAATAGAGAAGAGTAGATCACTATAGCGTAGGGTGGAATAGAGAAGAGCAGAGCTGAATAGAGTAGGAATGGAGCCGAGTAGGAGCGGAGTAGGAGCAAAGTAGAGTTGAGTAGAGTATGTCAGGGTGCGGAAGGGTAGGGTAGAGTAGGGTAGACTAACATCGGGTCCAGTAGAGCAGAGGCAAGTAGAGTAGAGTAGAGGAGCGCGAAGTAGGGCTCTGAGAGAGCTGGGTCGAACCCTGGTAGCATTCTATCAGAACTGGCGCCTGACGCGGGCGCTGGCGACAGGCGCGCCGCCGCCGCCAACGCTGGGGTTGTCGCCGTCGTCGGCCTCGTCGTAGGCGTCGTCGTCGTTGCCGGGAGGGGGTGATTCTGGACCCAACGGATACGCAATCATTGACGCGGTGAGTATCGCCACCAGCCCATCCAGACACGATCGCCCGATGAGTTGCCTTGATGAGGGCAGCGTAGAAACATCCAGTGCGACAGCTCTTCTTGGATACTTTTCGGGGGTGCGGGGAGGGCGGGGAATATTTGTTGTATGAGTCGTCGAAAGGCAAGGTGAACGGGTCGGCCTGGCGCCGTGTTGGCTCTATGGAGATCTTCTCGGGGTGCTCTTCGGCGGCTGTTGACCTGCCACGGTTGTGCCATCGGGGAGGGGCTCCTGGACTGCCATGTTGCCAACGCGTTTGGTCCGAACGGTCTTTCGTGAACCTCAAAATCGCATTGCCCCGAATGAGAGAGGAGGAAGAGGATGAGGAGAAGGAGGAAGAGGAGGGTGAGGGGGAGGAGGAGGTTGCATGCGGCCCTGGAGGTATCAGTCGTTGCGCATGCTTATTCCGAACGGATTTAGAAAAACAGAAGATCATGTCGCCCCGAATCAGAGAGGAGGAGGGAGGAGGAGGAAGGAGGAGGAAGAGGAGGAAGAGGAGGAGCAAGAGGATGAGGAGGAAGAGAGGTCTTGTTGTTGTCTTGGACCTCTTGGAGCATTTTTCCATGCCTCGGAGGAGCCTCTTGGAGAGTCTGTGGTCTCTCGTGGCGGCCTTTTGGGGCCTCTTGAGGGCCTTCCGGGTGATTCTGGGATTTGGGGCGCCTCCCTGGTGATGTTGGGCCCCCCTTCGGATTTTCTTGGGGCTATCTTGGGGGCGATCGAGCAAAGAAGGGGGCGGAAGTAATGTAGGTCCTCCCCCTTCGGAAGTACCAATATGGCCTCTTGGGGGCTTTTTGGGCCGCCCTTGGGCGCTCTTGGGGCCGTCTTGGGTCTGTGCTGGGCCCGTTTGGGGCCTATCTAGGGCCATCTTGGAGCCACCATGAGGCCCAAGAAGCTCATCGGAAGCGGAAAAGCGAGGAGCAAAAAAACCGTGATTTCCTTAAATGTGTGGAGGATTCTGGCATCTTGGGAGGTGCCTTGGGCGGCGGGAGTGGCACTTGGAGCCCTCTTGGGGCTGTCTCGGGCGTCTAGCCATCTTGGATCCCCCCTTGGGTTTCCCTGGGCCCTCTTGGAGCCATCTGGGGCCCTCTTGGGCGCTCGGCTCCGTCCCCCCCCCCAGCCCAGAGGGCTCGTGGGATTTTCCCAGGGGGGGGGATTTTGGACCCCCCCCCGAAAATTCTCCAGCTGGAGAGGGGGCGGTCCAGACCACGCTGGCTCTTTGCGGGGGAGTTACACGCCGGTCGTTGAAAGTAGGTGTTTCTGGGCTCCCGATCTACTCAGAAGCGCCTTCTAATTTCAATGGCCGATATGATGTCGCTACGCTTTGTGCCTATCTGGGAGGGCTTGAACCCGATCTGCATTACCCGCCTTCCTACTTCCTGGTTTGACCTACTTCTTCCGACCGACGCGCGGGGAGGAGGAGGAGGAGGAGGAGGAGGAGGAGGAGGAGAATGAGGAGGAAAGGGAGGAGGAAAGGGAGGATGAGGAAAGGGAGGAGGAAAGGGAGGAGCAGGAGGAGGAGGAGGAAGTGGAGGAAAGGGAGGAGGAAAGGGAGGAGGAAAGGGAGGAGGAAAGGGAGGAGGAAAGGGAGGAGGAGGAGGAGGAGGAGGGGACCCTGGTTTTTGATCTCCCCCCACATGGACGTTTCCCAGGCCGGTGACGGTGGATCGCGCTCCGTCGACTGTCTCGGCGCACGGTGCGACGACTGGATCGCGGGGCGACTTCCTTCCCTCGGGCGATCGCAAGCACGAGTCAAGGGGGCGCGAACTAGCGACGGATGGGAAATCGCGGATGTCCGCCGCCGAGCGAGGCGGCGCCGGTCGCATTTTGGGGAGGGCACCTCCCCCGATCCATGGAGTTGGCGACCGCGCGCCAAATCCATGGATCGCTAATCCATGTCTGCGCGCCTCCTCCTCCTCCTCCTCCTCCTCCTCCCTCCCTCCCTCCCTCCCTCCCTCCCTCCCTCCCTCCCTCCCCCCCTCCCTCCCTCCCGATTCCTACAAGTCCTAAGGAGGGGAGGACGATGCCGAGCGCGAGGCCGAGCTCGCCCGCGCGCAGGAGGCCGAGAGGAGGCAGGCAGACGCCCGGCGGCTGCAGGCCGTCAGCGGCAAGGCAGTCAAGGCGTGCTCCTCTCGGGCCGGGCGAAAGGGGGGGATTGGGAATCGGGAGCCTTGAGACGGGGGTCAACGCAAACGGGGGTCAGCCAGAGCGCGCCGACCTTGCAGGATCCTGCAGGGCCAGGGCCGCATTGACCCGGGTTTGGGTGCAGGATCCTGCAGGATCTTGCAGGATCCTTCGCATTGACCCGGGTTTGGGTGCAGGATCTTGCAGGATTTTGCAGGATTCTGCAAGGCCTGACTGACCCGGGTCTGGATTGACCCGGGTCAGAGGACCCCCGAGGGAAAGGGGGGGGTTACGAAATCTGCTGCATGCAGCTGGTTTCGGCCCCACCGAGAGGCCCATTCCTCGATACGTGGGCGCCTCCCGGAGCGGGGGCGCCGGGAAAGTCCGCTACGCGAGCTGATTCTCAAACCCCCCCTTTGCTATCCCCCCTTTTCGCCCGACCCGATCCTCCAGTAACTGGAAGCAGGCCTTGGCGCTCTACACCGAGTGCGTCGAGCTCGACGCGAACGACCACCTCCACTGGTCGAACCGCGCGCTGGTGCAGGACAAGCTCGGAAGGCACGACGAGATGCTGGAGGACGCGCTCCGGTGCGTCGAGCTGAAGCCCGATTTCGTCAAAGGTTGGACCCGCGTGGGGGCGGCAAACCTCGCGCTGGAGCGGTTCGATGCGGCGGAGGAGGCCTTCCGGCGAGCGCTGGCTCTAGACCCCGAGAGCGCGGCGAGTCGAGAGGGCCTCGCCGCTGTCGAGAGGGCGCGGGAGGAGGCAGTTCTGCAGGAGGAGGACGAGTTTGATGTTGTGCTCCGGGAGGTGAAGATGCTCGGGCATGCCGAATTGCGGAGACGAGCTTTGGAAGAAGGCGTCCGGGAGGAGAAGATCGAGGATGCAGAGCGAAGGGAGGACGTCAAGGAGGCGTTGATTAGCCTCATCTTTGCGCACCGGTATATTGTCGATCTGGTGCAGCAGGATCTGGTGGGCCTGGATTGTGAAAGGCTTTGTAGTAGGGCGCGCGAGGAGGGGTTGGACGAAGAGCAGATTACCGCAGTAGTGAGAGAGAACGGCAACCCTGGAGATTTGCTCAGAGCATTGATCGTAGATTATGTTTCGAACGACTTGGTCGGCTCTGCGATCGAGATCTTGGATGCGGCTGAGTTCGAGGAAGTGCCTGACGAGGACACCGATGCCGCTGTGGAGGACTTGGACATAGAGGTTGTAGATGTTGGTGACGACATCGCGAATCTTGAGCTCGGGGCAGGGGATGTCTTCCTCGCTGGAGCATACATCGACAGTGCGTTTGGAGAGCTAGTCCTACCAAATGGCCTTCGGTTGGGCCATCGATCTATGCACAGGTATTACAAGCAGAGACTTCGGCCGGATGATGGCCAACAGGTGGTTCTACGGAGTTCGCGCTTGGATTTGGTAAGATGGCAGGCAAAGATTGCGCGTCAACAGGGGTGGAAGTCGGAAAATCGTATTTCGGGGGCGGCTTCGAAGGCTGGAGCGTCGTCGACTGTGGTCCGCAAGCAGAGGACAGAGCTCCACAACATGAAGATGTGGCACAACCTTCACATGTGGGGCATGGGCGGTGGTGGAAGCCATTACTGGGGTGCTGGCGGCAAGCAGTACAACAAAGGAAATAAGGTAAAAGGCCTGATATTGAGGCACTCTCGGCAGGGGGCGAAGCTGCAAGCTGCACGGAACAAGGCCAACAGAGGCGACGCGAGCTGCGCGGTGTTGCGGTGATCGTCGCATCTGTTGGCCCGCCGCGCTGCAAAAGGGGGCACCGCCGTTTCTCCGCGTCCGTCAGTGGTGCTATCGCGTGCTCCGTCGCTGCATCTTGCTCGGTCTGTCTTCTCTCCCGCTTCTCCTTCCCGTCATCCATCTCTCCTCATATCCCCTTTTCGCTCAGGTCGTCTCTCGGGGCAAGTTCAGCCTTGGCGCGATAGTTTCAGCCGCGAGGAGGTCAAGCTGAGAGGAGGCACTGAGACAAAGGAGGAGAAGGAGGAGGAGGAGAGCGAGGTCGAGGAGGCTGTAGAGAAAGAGAGAGAGATCGCAGGCCTAGAGGTTGACTCCAACACCAATGTTGGCGAAGTGCCTCCACCGAGGAAAGAAGATCTCGATCTCGGTGATGATGGTAATACTCGGGCTTCAAGGTGACCGAAATGTCACCACCAACCCCCAAATCTAGGATCATCTTCCCCCTGTGGAGGCAAGCCCCTGTGTTGGTGTTGGTGTCCATTTCCAGGCCCCCAAAGTAAGAGAAGGAGAGAGCGAGAGAGACGGTGAGACAATGAGAGAGCGCGCTCGTCCGCGCAGGTGCGGGCGGATTCGGTGCTAGAGAGGCGGGGTGAGTCGAGGCCCTTGCTGCGGCAGAGCAGAAGGATCACGAACGAAGTGTTTTAAGGCAGCGCGCGAACGAACTCGGGCACTGCTCCAATGCTGATAATTTTGACCACGAGGGGAAAGCTCATGCCCGATGCCTACACGCAGCAGGCGTGCGCGATGGGCGAAAACGGCAACCGATCCGGGAGGACGAGAGGAGGGAGGAAACGTCGGAACGGGAAGGCGGAAGGAGAAGCAGCGCGGAGGGCAGAAGGAGGAGGAGGAGGAGTCGAAGTGTGAGCGAGGGATGGAGAGGAGTCGAAGGACGAGGAGGGGTCGAAGGAGGAGAAGAGTCGAAGGGTGAGGAGGAGTCGAAGGATGATGGGGGGCGGCGAAGAGGGAGTCCTCCTGCCCGATCGCGTCCTCGCCGCCGCGGCGAGCAGGCAGACCACCCTCGCGCCCGGGCACGCCCCGCCCACCGCCGGCCTCTCGTCGTGCAGCCCCCTCTGCCCGCTCCTGCCCCCCCTCGGCAAGCCGACCCTGCCTGCCCACCCTCGGGGCACCCGCGTGCGCATGCTGCCCACGTCTTGGATGGAGACGAGGGGGCCGTCACGCGCTCCTCCTCCTCCTCCTCCTCCTTCTCCTCCTCCTCCTCCTCCTCCTCCTCCTCCTCCTCCCCCTCCTCCTCCCCGCCTCCTCCTCTCCCTCCTCCTCCTCCTCCTTCTCCTCCTCCTCCTCCTCCTCCTCTTCCTCTTCCTCCTCCTCCTTCTCCTCCTCCTCCTCTTCTCTTCCTCCTCCTCCTTCTCCTCCTCCTCCTCCTCCTCCTCCTCCTCCTCCTCCTCCTCCCCCTTCTCCTCCTCACGGAGGAGGGGGGGGCTCTGGCACAGATCCAAGGCATCCGCGTGGAGCATCGAAAGTTTATGTATATGCCGCTTGTCTTCCTTGAGAGGAGTCAAAGTGGCTCTCCGGGAAAAGGGTTGGTTCACCCGGAAGTCGGATGGTTCTCCGGGTCAGCGGGGCCAAACGCCGAGTCGGTTGGTCTTCCGGGTGAGGCCTTTGCGGGTTTTCTACGGGAAGAGGTTTCCGTTTCTCCTCGTATGTTATTCCTCCTTCGTTTTCTCTGTCTGACAATTTCATGCACATTGAACATTAGAGAGATTGTCTTGACACGTGCATTGACCTTAGAGGCTCAATCCTGACGCTCCTTTAAATTTTAGAAACGCAATGTTGACACACACACGCACACAGACACTTAATCTGAGAGACAGAAGCCTGATACACACTGCAACCTCAGAGACAAACTACTGACACACACAAACACAAACTGGAAACTTAGAGACACAGTCTTCACACACACACACTTAGATCTTAGAGACACAATCATGACACGCGCTCAAACCTCAGAGACACAGTCCTGACACGCACTTAAAAGTATCCCGGTAACGCAACCTAACAGCGATGTGTATAAACATAATTGGAAGCATTCCCCTTAAGATTCAGGTGATAATCCAGTTGTAGAATTATCTTGACCTCGCAGTCGCAATCGCATTCGCAATGACAGTCGCAGTGGCAACGGCCTTAGGATCCAATGGAATCCTAAGGATTCCTAGGGATTCCTAAGGCAGCCTTAGGAATCCATTGGAATCCTTAGGAAACCTTCGGAATGCTTAGGAATCCAGATCCGTATGGATTCCTATGGATTCCTAAGGATTCCTAGGGAACCCTAAGGATTCCGAAGGATTCGCCTGCCTCGGCCTCAGCCTCAGCCTGCCTCAGCTTCAGCCTGCCTCAGCATCAGCATCAGCCTCAGCCTCAGCCTCAGCCTGCCTCGGCTTGCCTCGGCCTCAGCCTCAGCCTGCCTCGGCCTCAGCCTCAGCCTCAGCCTGCCTCAGCCTCAGCCTCAGCCTGCCTCGGCCTCAGCCTGCATCAGCCTCAGCCTCAGCCTGCCTCAGCCGCAGCTTGCCTCGGCCACAGCCTCAGCCGCAGCCTCAGCCTGCCTCAGCTTCAGCCTCAGCCTCAGCCTGCCTCGGCTTGCCTCAGCCTCAGCCTCAGCCTGCCTCGGCCTCAGCCTCAGCCTCAGCCTGCCTCAGCCTCAGCCTGCCTCAGCCTCTCAGCCTCAGCCTGCATCAGCCTCAGCCTGCATCAGCCTCAGCCTGCATCAGCCTCAGCCTCTCAGCCTCAGCCTGCCTCAGCCTCAGCCTCAGCCTGCATCAGCCTCAGCCTCAGCCTGCCCCAGCCATACCTTGCCTCAGCCTCAGCCTCAGCCTGAGCCTCAGCCTCAGCCTGCCTCGGCCTCAGCCTCAGCCTCAGCCTGCCTCAGCCTCAGCGTCAGCCTCTCAGCCTCAGCCTGCATCAGCCTCAGCCTGCATCAGCCTAAGCCTCAGCCTGCCTCAGCCTCAGCCTCAGCCTCAGCCTCAGCCTCAGCCTGCCTCGGCCTCAGCCAGCCTCAGCCTCCTGAGCCTGCCTCATCTTCAGCCTCAGCCTGCCTCAGCCTCAGCCTGCCTCAGCCTCAGCCCCAGCCTGTCTCAGCCTCAGCCTGCCTCGGCATCAGCATCAGCCTCAGCCTCAGCCTGCCTCAGCCTGCCTCGGCCTCAGCCTCAGCCTCAGCCAGCCTCAGCCTCAGCCTCAGCCTCAGCCTCAGCCTCAGCCTCAGCCTGCCTCAGCCTCAGCCTGCATCAGCCTCAGCCTCAGCCTGCCTCAGCCGCAGCTAGCCTCAGCCACAGCCTCAGCCTCAGCCTCAGCCCCAGCCTGCCTCAGCATCAGCCTCAGCCTCAGCCTGCCTCGGCTTGCCTCAGCCTCAGCCTCAGCCTGCCTCGGCCTGCCTCAGCCTCAGCCTCAGCCTGCCTCAGCCTCAGCGTCAGCCTCTCAGCCTCAGCCTGCACCTCAGCGTCAGCCTCAGCCTGCCTCAGCCTCAGTCTCAGCCTGCCTCAGCCTCAGCCTGCCTCAGCCTCAGTTTCAGCCTGCCTCGGCCTCAGCCTGCGTCAGCCTCAGCCTCAGCCTGCCTCAGCCTCAGCCTGCCCCAGCCTCAGCCTCAGCCTGCCTCGGCGTGCCTGAGCCTCAGCCTCAGCCTGCCTCGGCCTCAGCCTGCCTCAGCTCGGGCATTCAAAATATAGCACAGGATTGGTGTTCTGGGAACACGAAGATCACGAAGTTGCCCACAGCTGGCTCCGGGCAATCAAAATATGGTACAGGAATAATGTTCCCGGAACACGAAGAACACGATGGGGCCTACAGTTGGCTCCGGGCATTCAAAATGTGGCCTGGGAACGGTGTTCTGGGAACACGAAGAACACGAAGTGGCCTACCGTTAGCTCCGGGTATTCAAGATGTGGCCTGGGAATGGTGTTCTGGGAACACGAAGAAAACGAAGTGGCCCACAGTTGGCTCCGGGCAATCAAAATGTGGTACAGGAATAATGTTCCGGGAACACGAAGAACACGAAGTGGCCTACAGTTGGCTCCGGGCATTCGAAATGTGGCCTGGGAATGGTGTTCTGGGAATGGATTCCTACGGATTCTTAAGAATTCCTGAGGATTCCTATTGATTCCTGGGGCTGCCGGATCTGTCCGGATCTGTCCAGATCCTGCCTAGACCCCCCTGGGGCGGCTGCCGGATCTGTCTGGATCTGTCCGGATCCCGCCCAGACCCCCTTGGGGCGTCAAGATGCTCTTTTTTGAGCCCACTAGAAACCTATCAGCAAAAGCTGTTAGGTAACTTCGAGACACAGCCCCGACACGCACTCAAACCTTAGAGACACAATCCTGACACGCAGTTCAACCTTACAGACACAAGCCCGACACGCAGTCAAACCTTGAAAGCACAACCCCCACACGCACTTGAACCTTAGAGGCGCATTCGTTTCGTATACACATAAGTTCCGTATACGTTGCTGGTTTGTTGCGTTTTCGTATGGCATACGTTATGTGAAAATTACATACACGTGTTGTATAGCTTTCGTAGTTGTGTCGCATGTGTTTCGCATATGGTGCGTATTTGTTTCGTAAACGTCGCGCATACATCCCGTTTTTTGAAACGTTTCGTACATTAATTGTGGACCTCGTGTGGACATTTGCAAACGTTGTGCATATGCTTTGTAGTGCTTCACATGTGGCTTGCACGCGTGTTGTGTATGTGTCATAGTATTGTTCTCTGTGTGCTGTATGTGTGTAGTTTTATGTCCATGCATACTTATTACTGACACGACGACTACTTCTACTAGTACTACTACTACTACTACTACTACTACTACTACTACTACTGCTACTACTACTAATACTAATACTACTACTACTACTACTAATACTACTACGACAACTACTACTACTACTACTACTACTACTACTACTACTACTACTACTACTACTACTGCTGCTGCTTTTACTACTACTACTACTACTACTACTACTACTACTACTACGACTTCGACGACTACTACTACTAATACTACTACTACT